AAGACTTTCACTTAACTTATTTCCAGTTATTGTGAATACAAATGTCTCTAACTGACTGCCTTCTGCACTTGATTGTGCCATGCTAACATCAACACCCTCTCACTGTAATGAAATACAGGTTGAGTGTTACATCACGGTTAATGTAATCACAGTTATATGATTTGTTACTACTAGAATGAGGAAGTTCCTTTTCAGCTGTGAACTATCAGCAGGTCCTTTCCACAGTAAATGTGAGGTTACAGTTGTCAACCAACATAGATATGAAAAGTAACAGTCCTGTATTATCTTGCACAATATCTAACCACTGGCTTCCATTTGCAGTAGACTGAATTCATTCTACACCCTCTTGCAATGGAGACAAAATGTCCCATACTTGCACCAGTTCTGTCCCACAGGTCTTACAGGAACCCAAATAGGGCTGCACTGCTCCACCAAACTCAGACACAAATTCCCAGTGTAATGGGAGCCGGTCCTGACTCCCGTGAAGTGTGTAGTTTAGGACCCGGTGCAGACGGTATAATCCGGAAGAGAAGGGCTACAGGGAAAACACGGTGAGGAATGGAAGGGATGGCGAACAGGGGGAGGTGCCGACGGTGCTGACAGTGATCCAGGTGCATGGGGGGAGCGCAGACAAACGAGTCCAGGTCCAAATAGGAAAATCGGGGCGCAGTCCATAATCCAAAACCGGGAGATCCATCCAAGACAAGACACGAATAAAAACAGAAAACGTGTACAAGGAACCTATGCCCTCAAGCCACGGATGTAGGGTGACTTGATGCTAGGTGGGCCTCCGGGCATCCGTCTTCCAATGCAGAGCCCTGAGCTTCAGAGGCACGAGGTTTAAATAATAGACGGGGAACAAGGGGCAGGTGAACACGATAATGAAACTAAAATACAAAAGGGTCGGAGCGCCCTCTAGAGGAGGGATGATGATCGTGACACCCACCATGGAAGCCGAAGTGAAGTGAGATGACAGTCAAGCTTGACCAAGCCAAGCTCCTGCCCCTAGCCAAGCTGAACACACTACCCCCGCCCCCTTCTGCTGTCATTACACTTAGTTTTATCTGATCTGCTCCTCTTCTATTCTTATCCTTATTTCCCCATTCCTGTTGTCCCGTCTTCTCACTCGTCGCCATCCTCAGTCTCCCCCAATGACCCAGGCCCATCTCTTCCGGATTTCTTTGCCTCCTTTCTCTCTTCCCATGCAAATGTCTTTCCTATGTTTCAGTTCAGGTGCTCCTCGGAGTTGCCAATTATCTTCAAACCTCTAAGATCTCTGACATCTGCAAGCTCTTCACAACTTCAACCTTTAACCTCCACCTCACTCCTTATCTTCTAATTACTTCTGCTGCTGTTTCTCTCTTCTTCTCCAAATCCAACCTTTTCCAGCTTTTCTTGGCATTCGATTTTGTAATTACGTTTTAGAGTGTTTTTAACGTTTATTTTTTCACTTGGAGGTTGTGTGCTAGATTCTGAATTAACGTGTCTTGATTTGAGACTGTTAGGCCATAAAAGGTGTTACTTTGGAAAGGATGCATATACTGGAAATGTCATTGATATCCCACTATATTAATCTATTTGCTAGCATAACTCCTACAGTAAGATGTAAATACATGTAATTAAGTGTGAAATTTGCATAGCAGAATAGTACTTAATGTCAGTCTGTGTCAGCTGAAATGACTGAACTAAAAGTATTTTAAAATACTTTACTGTGATGTGATGTATGACAAAATGATTTGCACCCCAAATGGTTACAGGAGTTTCCTATGACAGTGTTAAAAACATTATACTCCTGTCTGGGGTGTTAAATACAGTATGTGATACTATAATGTTGACTGCCTGAATAAATGAGCTTATATGCTGCAAATTTTTAATTGTACAGACCAAAGTAATTAACCGGAGAGCTCTAAGAATAATTTATAACTGATGTGAACGTACTGATTAACAACATATCTCAGACCAAAGATATTATTTTCATCATCATAATTAATGCTTTCCAATCTATGTTGTTCTCTTTTTGTTAGTTCTTTGTTGGTTTAAAACAATAAACCTCTGTTGAAGGAGATGTATGAGTTTTCTCATAATGTACTGTATGAATGTGTTTTCAGGATCTGTAATGGTTTTGAGTTTCAGAGCAGTAAAAATAAAGTTGACTGTTTTGGAAGTCATTGTATAGTGGCACATATATGTTATAAGCAGTACATAAAACAGTGTATCACTGTGACTATAAACAGGGAAATGCTTATTATGGAAGTTCTTCATGTTCTTATGGAATGTTTCTTTTTTATTTTAACTAGAGAACAAGTATGGACTACAGCCTATTTTCTGTATGTGTCTTTTGAGAGCTTTATTATTTTAATGTTGTTTTTACACCTACTGTATCAAATTCCTTTATCTCCAGTGTTTTAATAATTAATAATCTCTTGAACAATGTACTGTGAGGTTATTGATTTTAAAATATATAATTGGTATTTCTTGGAGTGACATGGAAATAACATTTGTGACTAAAAGTAAATAAATGCATTTAAATATTACTATATTATAAAGATTTATTACTAAATATATAGTAAATATTATGCATTGGATGTATTGTATGTTGCCTTGGATAGGGGTATCTGGTAATTAAATTACGATGATATCGATGAATCGTAATGGAATGGTGTCCAAACTAGAGGCCATCATGGACAACGTCTCCCATCCCCTCTATGACAGGCTTGTAGAAATGAAGAGCACGTCCAGCAATAGACTGATTCATCCACGGTGCGACAGGGAGTCATTCTTGCCTTCTGCCATAAGACTGTACAACGCATCCACCTTGTGTCTGGGCAGAGGCAACATTGACAGTGACCTGTTTCTGGACTGAACAGTAAACTGATACATCTGTTCTTTTTCTTTTCCTGTTTACAACCGTTTTTGTGCAATATAAGCCAGGGACCTGTGCATTTATATTTATATTGATATTGTGCAATATGACTTTTTTGTGTACTGTTCTGTTCTGGTTTGCTCTTTGTGTGTTCTGGACTGTGAGTAACTATTCATAGTGCACTCCTCACTGATTGTATTGCATGTGTTGTATTATTCTTATTGTATCATTTGTTACACTGTGGCTGTGTTGTCTGTGTTAAGCTGCTGTTGTACTGCAATTTCCCTCACGGGATTAATAACGTATCTAACAATTACAAAATCAATTAATTGATTAACTAATCAAAAATTGATTAATTAATTAAAACGGGATAAACAGGCAATCTTGAATTCTCACATAAAACGGATGTACCACTATAAAGAAACCAGATCCTCTGTTTCATATTGAACAAAGACTTCAATAGCTGCATGTTTTACTCAAACAATTCACACAAAAAAAAACAATCACAGACTGCCCCACATTATTGGAGTACCTGACTCACTGTAATACTGGAAGAAGGAAGAAGGAAGACAAAAGACATTTGTATGTGCCATATTACTACTGAGTATTTGAGCCTTCCAGAGCTCATTTATGCTGGTTACGTTCTTCTTTTCTATACTGTTGTCAAGGCCATCACTGTGCAGGACGTGATCAGGGGACCTGCAACTCATTATTTTAAGATCGGTGATTCTTCTTTTTGATGGAATTGATTTGTGTTTTCTTGGGTTGCGTGCTTAAGTTTGCTGAAGCAAAGGGTTAATTAAGAGAAGTGGGAGCTACTGTAGCTCACCGGCCATATTTCTGGAGTCTTTACCCTGGCTTCTTTCATGAAACAGGCTGATACGATCTACAAATCAATTACAGTGGCCACCAAATAAGCATTCCTCTTGTTGGTAATGTCACGGACGTCCAAAGGGACTAACCGTGGGGAGCAGGAGAGCGGAAAAGACCCATATGCGTAGCGGCGAGACAGGAAAAAGGCCCGGGCTCATTAGTGCAAAGAGTTCAGGAATGCCGTATAGAAACCTATGCCCTCAGGGAGTGGACGTGGGGCGCCCTGGTGCTAGGCGGGTCTCAGGACATCCGAACGTCAATGCTGAGCGAGGACAGAGTGCAAGACCCGGAAATATATAGCCCAAGGGAAAGAGAGGGAGAGGAAGGACAGCAGACCGGAAACTAGGGACAGGACAGAGAAGGAGCACCCTCTGGCTGCAGAGGGCGTGACAGGTAACAGTTCTTATGCTTTTCGGATCTACGAAGAACAAAACTTTCACAAGCAATCTTCAGCAGTGTTGAGCATCATGTTGAAATGACATAATGCCTTTACCCTACCTCTGGTCCATGCACCAGAAAAGCAGTCTCTCTAGAACTTTACCATCTGCTTGTTTAACTGTAACAAATACACCGTATTTGTAGTCTTCTAGGTACCTTTCATCTTGTATTACTTTTTTTTCTGGAGCTAAAAGCTTAAAATGTTGCTTTATGTGTATACTTCATAAACCTTAAAGATTTATGCATTTTCACATTTTCCTAGTCTTGAAAAAGATTATCCAAGCACAACCATCCCCACTACAAAAAAGCTTTTAGGAAACATGTCTTTACTTGTCCCTTTTCAAGGTAAGATTTTATATGAATATCTTATCAGCAGAATATAGAAGGGCTATAAAACTGTCAGGCTTCACAATATGTGCTACCAGATTTAATGTAATTTTGGGAGAATAGAAATAAATGAACGACGTGATGTCACATAAAAGCAGGAGGTATTTTTTTAAAAGCATGCAGAGAAATAGTAGCTAAGTAGACTTTTGAAGATGTAATTTTGTATATCGCATTGAATTTAGTCCATGTCAATATTGATTCCATTTTGTTTAAAAGGAAAATGTATTCACAAACCAGGGGTGCACATAAGCAGGAAATGCAATGTTCTGACTATGTTTCTACCTCAGTCACTTCAATAAAGCACGCACTTGGGTTCAAGATGCTTTGCAAACGATGGACGACACAACTAAAGTGTGTTGTAAAACACAGAACAAATGCGTGGCATTCGGCAACATACAACCTCCAATTCCCAGTCTGAGACTGTAAGATTGTGATGTGCGGTTCAAACACTTTTCAACCAAACGTGTCTGACTTTCGCAAAGTGAACAGCCCGAACCGGCACAACAGATCCGCGGCTCTGCCGAGGCGGTCTTCCTACCAGACCGCGTCTGTCGTCACGGCTGGGCTTTGACAACTACTCTTGCTTTGTCGCGGTTCGTTCGAAGGCGTTTTGGACTTAAACTTAGTCCATTTAAAATTCAATCCGTTTTTTTTTTCTTCTTCTGAAGCGTTGCTTGGTGTGAAATCACGGACCTCCATTGTGCTCGGGTTCTTTCGGGTGAGCAGAGTCACTCCCACATAGGCGTCAGGCGCGCTCTCCTGAAATTCATCAAGGCCATTCAGGGGTCTCTGCAGAGACGCGAGCTCCCCACTAACCCCAGCTCAGCACAACGGAGCTTGAATTACCGGCTGGATCGACTTGGGGAGGGTTGGAAAAACAACTTGGGGAAAAAAGACCCCTAACAATCTGCAAAGAGATGCACACAGAGAAAATTCTGATTCGCCCGAACATATTTACTGGATTACATTAAACATTTTTTTAAAAAACTTCTGAATGTGCTGAATGTACATGGAGTATCCCAAGCCTTTATCCCTGTGATTCCTGTTTAAATCCGATTGGGCATCGGACCACTTAGGGGGAAAACTGCTTCCCATCAACCAGGGTGGACTATCCTTATAGACCGAAGTCTTGCTTTTATTACGTTAGTGAAAATGAGTTGTTGCACCGGACGATGCGCGCTGATCTTCCTATGCACTTTCCAGCTGGTGAGTAAGACTGCGTTTTTGTTTTCTCATTCTTACATGTGCAAATCCGCAAGATGTTCGTCCAGCGATCGTAAACATACGACCCATTCCTCGGGCATGGCTATACACAATTCTTTTTTTTAAAAAAACAGACACTATACACAATAGTCCATATTTGATTATAGCAAAGAGGCAGATGAAGAGCTTGAAAGCTTATCTTTGTGGTACAGCGCAGTTCACATCAGTGAAAGATAACGGCGCTCTTTGGGAAAATAAAGGGCAGTCATATACTGTATAGAGCGGATCTCTCGCTTCCTGTATCTTTGTGCATAAGGCGACAACAACTTTATGGCGTTTTTTCCCCCCAGAAGTATTATTTCTTTGTTTCTTATGGACTGTGTTTTCAATATGCAGTGCAAGCGGTGATCATTGTAACTTAATACGTTCGTCGTGTCTTGCTAATTAACAGTAAACCTTCTATGCAAAATTAAACTATTTTATTAGCACAGCTGGGTCCTTGCAGTGCTGCTGTCTGAGAGTGATCGGAGTTGTGGTAAATATGACTGCTCTTATCAAAACAAAAGTGTAACGGATCAAGTCAGGGTGATTTTTTTTTCTGTGAATAATGCGAAGCGCTGTTAATAATCTGCTCTTTTTCTTTTTGACGGCACTGAAAATCGAAATCGCCGTGGAAGGCGCCTGTGATTTCGGTTTTAGCAATGTATACAATAGGTCCAGATGTACAGTAGCTGTAACAAAGAGAAACTCGCAAAACAAAGATACCTCATGTGCTTTTAAGAGATGAGTTTTTTCAGCCACATACACTTTATTACCAACACTATGGACCAGTGTTTGAAGGCAAAGCGATCAGTTGCAGGTAGAATATTTAATCGTGGTTCCTTTGTTTACATTGCGACCGTTAGGTACTGTATAGTACAGTGATTGATGTACAGTGTACAATGTGGAATCCGTGCTTTTTGCTCAATGAGCGGCGATCTGCTTTGGGCTTAGTGGAATAAATAAGCTATTTAAATTGCAATACAATAACGCTGATCTTCGTTAAGAGGAAATGGTTTTCGATATTTAAAAAAAAGATCAAACAGAGTAAAATCTTCTAGGATGGTCATTCTTTTTAAGTTGCAGGAAGAATGATAGCCATCATCATCTATCCTGTAGAGAGATATTTGGTTATCGGAAGCTTTCATTGGCTAAGCAACAGAATTACTAGAATCAAGTTTTCCAAATTAATGTTTTTTTAGAATATTTAAATACTCTTTCATGGTTCTCTTGCAAATGAATCAGAAATATTTACTTCCCGTTTCACAAATGTTAAATCTGTTAATTGAAGTCGTAGATGCTACTGGGCTGCGTAAAATGTGTTTGTTTTTTCTCCCAGTATAGGGAGGAATACTTTCATGAACTTGATTTTTGTGTAATGTTTTTTTTTACAGAGGTGATTTCTTTGTGAATGTGCTACACGAGAAATTCTTCACGTATTCAAACACTATTTGGCGCTTTTATTATCTAGGTACTATATAAATAGATATTTAATGACCATGACATCTTGTTCAGTTAATTAATATTAAAATGCTGGCTGAAGTATTAAGAATCGTATGCTATGCTTTATTCTAATGGATTGCACCACGAGGTGGATGAAATAGTTATTCTCCAAATGTAAAGTACTTTGGCATTCTTTGAGACAGAAAGCGCTTTAAAAATGTGAATATGAACTATTATCATATAGAACCTTTTGCTGGTTTTGAAACAATACGGATAAATATTTCATGTCTTGGGCTTTACAGAGCAACGGGATTTTGTTGTTTGTGTACTTAACTCCAGTTTAAAATTCTCACGTTACATTAATCCATTGAAGTAGACTGTAGCATCTATTCCATGTGACATAAACGTCTGAAAACGATAACATGTTTCAAGCGATTTCTAGCATGAATAGGGCTGATGTTAATGTAGGATTAGAATGTACAGTCTTTTGGCATGATTGTTTTGTTGCTCACCCTGGAAAAGCCTGGAGTCTGGAAGCCAGCAATGTCAGTGGGTACTCAATATCTCAGAACTACATCTTTTAAGTACATCTCAAAACCAGAGCCACACTTGTTACAAAAGATCCTTCTGATTAATGTTGCACGTCCCATAGATGAGATGCTGTTTCTTTCAAAGATTAAACAAGAGGCATTTTCCTGTAAGAAAACAGAAGAGGGATATAGTGCCATATGAATTTAGGACAAAGGAATTGAAGTCCTTTTAAAATGTCTCTTCTTTACATGAAGTGTAATACCATTTTAATACTGCTTTAGAGTGTGTGTGACCTCCAGTAATGTGGTAATCTGGTGCAGAACATTGTGCACATAATGGAATGAAACCCATTTTATTATAATCTTCTCATGCTGGTTGTTTCAAGCTCCACGTTCTATGGACCCTGTAAAGATTTGCCACACCTTTGTGGTTTTGTGACTTTGACAATCTTATTAACTTATACATATAAATATTGTCTTCACATTTTGTCCTTTTAACACCATAAGGGAATATGTAACTTCGGTTTTAGTAGGAGCATATCCTACAGCCCAATATGTACAGTATGTTTTTAAATGAAAACCTTTTGGCCATTTAATGGATCTTCTCAGTTAATTATTGTAAAAATTGGGTTGTGTATTGAAAAAATCAAAACATGTTTTGCAGTCACTTTCATGTCATTCTTTTCAGTTAAGAAAATGCAGAACTGAGGTTAAGTTCTGAAGAAAGAGAAAGTTCTGTCAGTAAAAATAGTAATTTTGAGAAACTAATCAGGATTAACCATTGTTTTTAAGTGAGACAAACTTAGATAGTGGAAAATGCTTTGTAAAGGGGGAATAATGTTTGGTACATGTATGAAACATAGACGTGATTAAGCACTCTGGAATATCTCTGTTGGATTTTGCCTGTCTTCAAAGATGCTGGCATATTGAAAAACAAAAAACACCCTTTATTAAAATAACACAGTGATATCATCTTGGTCTAACAGACATGAGTAACACTACAGCGTTACCTACCCTGTCTCCATTATCCTTCACTGGTCTCCTTCAGAATAGCAACATTGATGTGGAAATGTGTTCTGTGCTCCATCTAAACATGGTTAGAAGAACTACACAATTCCCATACATTACTGGGTATTATTAACCAATGTATGAAAAACAATACAGCTGAAGCTAGCAATGTGTAAAATAAAATTAACAAAGCTTAATGGCTAATACCGAATAACAAGGGAAGCACAAGATGTTTACTGAACAAAGCACAAAATCTGCTATTCACAAATCAGTTTTAATACAGTTAGGAGTCTTTCGCCTTCTGTGCCTTCTGTCATAACCGCTGTAATGAAATTGAAAGCCCTTGTTATTCGGTGGTTTACTCTGAGTAATGTGACTGTAGCCATGGAACTGCGCTGGGCAGCCTGTGAAGTGGTGATGTTCCATGTCCGCAAGGCAGGACAGGCGCAGCTGTGCTTTCTGGTCATAAATATACAGTTAACTGTACACAGTGGGTGAGGTGACACTTTGATACCAGCGGGAGCCGTAGATATATTACGTTTATGTAAAGAATAAATCTCCTGCGTCGTCCGGTGAAAGCAGTGTTGTGTAGCAGTCAGGTTTAGCTCAGTTCGGTGTAAAGTCCCGGGTTTCTAAGTGAAGGCCTTACCTTCTGTTGTGTCAGCTGCTGCTTTATTCCTCACGGTCAAATGTTCCCTTGAACACCAACGAACGCTTTAAAACGCACACCTTCAACTGAACATGCACACCTGAACTGAACAACTGAACATGCTGCTGCTGTGAGATAACTGATATATCGTAAATATTGTTTTGTTCTGAACTCTGCAACTCGGATAGTTGTCACCAAACATCACTTGCTTTGTTGCTTTCTTGGGACAAGATTGCAACTGGAATTTGTTATTATTATCATCGTTGTTATTATTATTTTTTGTATTTCGCAGACGACCTTAACCAGGGTGACATACATATACAGTAAATGAAATTTATATGAGAAACAGTAAGTACAAGGAACAGCTACTGTATGTAATTACAGTGAAAAAAAAATGGCAGTTAGGCTAAAACGAGCTGGAAGTTGAATACAAGAGCTGCGCTAGGCGAAACAGTAGGAAACCAATGTATAGATAGTGTGGACACCGTACAGTACCGTTAGGGCATTGATGTATTATATGTATGTATTCCATGTTAGTAGTGAACAAGCACAATAAGCAAATTATGCTGCCCGTTTGAGGGTTTTAAGAACAAAAATGTGGTAGAATGTAAATCAGACATGGGAAATGCTGTTTTATTGTAATGTTATTTTTTGCTTAATAAATCTGACTATGAAGCATTTTAATGTCATGCTGCTGCTCATGAAAATGAAAAGGGTGGTTTGAGATCTGTTATATTACTCACAGAGACGGATAGATAATTGTGTGGCCTCTGGCTCTTTATTTTAGGCTTTTAAAACACAAGCGGTTGACACTTTTAATTGTATCAGACTGTAGTATATCAATTTGAAGAGGAGCAATTTTTTAGTTAACTGAAAAAAAAGCATCTATTTGGAAGACCCTCAATTTAGCAAGGCTACCCAGACTAATCATGTTTGCAATATTTCTAGACAACGTAATTGAAAGAGCTCTACACTCGCTGTGACTGTGGAGTTTTTCATCTAAATGTTTAAAGCATAGCTGTCCAATCATGGTCCTGGAGGGCCTGTATGTCTGCATGTTTCACTCCAACTTGGTACTTAACAAAATAAACAAGCTCGTTATTGGCTTAATTGGAGAAATTTGACAAATTCCTCCCAGCTTTTCAGATACCGCTGCTTTAAAAAGAGAATTTGAAAAGGCAGACACACCAACCCCGTGGGACAAGGAATGAACCCTGCTCTTTGTCAAAGAGGAATATACCACAGATTTAAATGTGAGTTGGTTATAAGGACGATACAGTAGTCCAAACCGCGAGGACTGTCACCAATTAGCGAGCAAAAGTTCAACTTGCCAA